CTTTCGATTTGCACGACATTTAGCATATCGTACTGAATTAAGTCTAGAATGACGCATGTTAAGTTTCGTACAAATCGGTTCACATTTAGATATATCTGCCACATATATTTTCCTCCGATTTAATGTATAAGGTCCACCAAATTCCCTATATTTCTTTCGATTTGCATGAAATTCGCATAGTGTACTGAATCAAGTCTAGAATGATGTGAGATAATTTTCGTGATAATCGGTTCAAATTTAGATAAAGCTTCCATATATATTTTCTGCATTGTTCCTTCGAAGGAATATACGCAAAGTGGTGAAGGGTATCATAGAGTCGGCCCAGTACGACTTTACTACTTTCCTTACAGGTTTTATTTCTGAAGGTATCTCATTATAAATTATTAAACGATTTTACTCTAATACCATTTAAAATAAATATTATTCCACCACAATTGGGGGAACCCTATACCAATGATGATAAGACAATTTACTATGCCGGCGGCCGACTGCAATGATACGTTTGTTCGCAATCTAGATTATTTGTTTGTGTGCTTTTTTTGCAGAATCATTTAAATATTTGCTCTGAATGAATTCTATTTCACAATAATTGTAAAAGTTTAAAGATACTAGGGTGGCCAGAATATGAAAGATTTCCCACGAAAATAATAATTCAAAATTAGTTAATTGTTATTTTGTTTTATTATATTTGGGATAAAAAAGCAAACATCTATAAACCAAAACACAATGCAATGAATTCAAAATGCATTTGAGAATTTGGGCATGAATCACAAATATCTGCACTGCGATATTTCATACCGCCCGCCATATGTCATACACTTCTAATTACTGTTGTGTATTTTAAAAGGGGAAGGGTAGGGGAGACTGGGGCACCTTCGGCATCGGGGCACCTTCGGCAATCGCGTTTTCAATATGAAGCTCTCACCGTACATCACTAGTTTCGATACATAGGTATCGAATATCGAAATAAATAACTGACACAAAGTTTGAAAGTTCTAGCTAATAAGCTTATTTAGATACATAGATTTTTGTATTTTTATAGATGTTTCTGTAATATTTCAATTCCATATCGTAAGTATTTCGTGTATACAACTTTTAAAAATTTTAACACAATATTATTAAAAAGTTGTTAACTACGATGTGTATTATTATAAAAATATTTAAAAATATAATGTTTTTACAAATCTGATCAAAAAAATGAAAAAAACTATAAAAAGTACATTCGGGGTACATTCGGCATTTTAAAGTGGGGCACATTCGGCCATATACAGATTGTGCAATAGAATTTCCTTAAAATCTTTTTGAGTTTGTCTTTAAAACGAATCCTTTAATATGGCCCGAAAATGCATATATAAGATCAAACGTGCTTGTATTGACGAAAATGCGATAGAAAACCTCTATTTCTGATGTTGTGTGCGACCTTGAGATGTAAACGTCCGCCGCTAGAAAATAAAGCCCTATAATTCAAACATTGTGTGGCGTATTAAAACCAAATAGAGCCTTTAGAGGATCAGAATTTCAACCAGACTGATAGCGATGACAATTACCCGGCTATGACTATGGTGCCGAATGTGCCCCATCAAATGCCGAAGGTACCCCGGGTTGGGGCACATTCGGCGAATTTGACTTTTTTTACAAAACTGAAAATTTTTTTAACTAATACTATTTTTATATATCTTTTTGGTACTATTTTTGATAATTAAGAGTCAGAGGACAATAATCAGCCATAAATTTGTTATATATGTTCAATAAGTACTGAGATATAGAGCTCTAAAAAAAAGTGCCGAAGGTGCCCCAGTCTCCCCTATTGTTCATTCACCCACCACCTGTTTTAAAATTTGCTGTTATCAAAATTTGATAAAAAAAATAGTGTCAATTAATACGTAATCTTTTTAACGCGTTTTCGAATGGGGTGACCAGATTGCAAAGAATTTTTGTGAATATTAAATATTATGAAAGTGCTAAAATTAACTCATTTTTTTCAAACCAATGGGCTGTAATTTGATATTTTGCATTTTCATGTGGTGTCAAATCTTTCCATTAAAATATATTAAAATCGATCCACGATGTTCACGTATCCCCCATATGAAATACCGCAATATTTCCGATACTTTGAAGGTTTTAGCCCAATTCTCCCCTTTTTTCGTCCCAATTGCGTAGTTTTAAGGTGTAGGAGCGATGTTAACGACGTTTATACGAGTTTTTATTGATTTCCAAAATTTCGCAATTTATAAAATAGAATTTCAGAATTCTAGCCCTATCGGTTCACCTATATTTAAATTGTATCAAATATAGTACTACTAGCAGACCCGGCAAACGTTGTTTTGTCGTATCAGAATTGGTTTTGTAAAAATTAACGAAATCTTAAAAAATATATTTCAGAAACTATTTATTTATTTTATTTATGGTAAGTAGTAAAGTCGGACTGGGCCGACTATATGATACCCTTCACCACTTTGGGTATATTGTACATATGTATTTTAACCCTTTGAGCCCCGAATTTTTTTCCATAATCATAGAACAATTTTCTGTTCACAGATTTAATGAAACTATCCTAGATAGGATATAGACAAAATTTTACATCACTACATCCTTGCATTCGGGAGATACAGTACATTATTTCTAAAAAATAAAAGTCCAATATCAAAAAACCATATAAAAAATCGACGAAAAAATCATTTTCTATTATTCTCTATATTCTGTTCTACTAGAATCAAATATAATTCTTATGACAGAATTCGCACATTTCAAAGACAAAGCGATTTAAATAATTTGGAGTATATACACAAATTAGTACTGTACACATTTTTGCCCTCTTCTCTATATTGAAAAGCTCATAACATAACCAAAAATTTGAATTTTTTAGATTTTTCTTTTGATATGTGTCGTCCATAATCAGGACTTGACATATGAAATCCAAAGAATATATATCTACTAGCTATATATTAAATATAAGCTCTAAAACATTTTGTTGCCTGTGGGCAACATTGGGCCACAAAGGGTTAATAATTGCATGTCTATGTTCCCTCTTTCTCCGACCTACCCTAACTTAAATTTCATTCGAGCAGATTTAGAGTCGCCTGCGTAACATGGGGAAAACGATTTATTGATACACGCTACTCGCTACGCCGCGTTGTTAAAAATATAATCTATATGTGGGAGCTATTGATAACACACACGCTATTCGCTACGCCGCGTTGTTAAAAATATAATCTATATGTGGGAGCTATATATAAATCTGAACCGGTATCCACGAAATTTAACACACATCGTTTTAGACTTAATTCAGTACCCTGTGCCAAATTTCGTGCAAATCGAAGGATATATAGAGACGTTGGTGCATCATTTACATAAAATCGGACGAATATATATGGGAGCTATAACCAAATCTGAACCGATTTTAACGACACTTTGCACATATCATTCTAGGCCTAAGTTATTACGCTGCACCTAATTTCGTGCAAATCTAAAGATATATAGGGACTTTGGTACACCATTTACCTTAAATCGGACGAAAATATATATGGGAGCTATATCTAAATCTGAACCGATTTTTCCCAATTTCAATAGGGTTCGTCCTTGAGCCAAATAAGTGGCCTGTGCCAAATTTCATCCAATTCGGATTATAAATGCGACCTGTACTTTGTTTACAATTTAACATCGACAGACAGACGCACGGACGGACGGACATGCATAAATCGACTCAGAAAGTGATTCTATGCATATTCTCAAAAGGAACCTGTATCACAGAGTGGTGAAGGGTATAAATACCTTCGAACGACGAATGACCCTCACCCCACATTTTAAGATTTAAATTTCAGTCTGTGCGTGGATGTATCGTTGAGTCAGTCAATAACTTTACTGTCTTATTAATATACATAAGTATTTGGGAGGTCATATCCGCTTTCTCAAATTTCTGCAGGACATGTTTGACTTATTAGGATTGTTTATCCATCACAATTTACAGCCATGTTTTGATGTAGTACCCTCGTAGAATCCTAACATATGTTAGGTATTTTGAATTCCAAGGTATAAGGTATGAGAAATCCGGTCTGGCCGAAAAAGTTTTACTTATTTGAATTATTTCATTCCCACACATATAGCTCTATATTAAGCAACATAAAACAAATAATTCCGATCGTATCAACACTTATTTTATATTTTGTAATTGGCATTTATATCCAAATAATTTGGAAAATACATATGCGAATTTTATAACACAGTACAGTAACATTGTCAAAAGTAAAGAAACAATGAAATGTAAAACTAACCACACAATCGAGTGAGTGGAGAGACGGCGCTTGTTACCAAAAGAAAAACTAGTTAAACGGTATTAAAATGTATTGTTGGGAGTACTACATTTGTTTCTGTATAAAATAGAAAGAGAGAGAGAAAGGAAAATATGAGCGCAAATAGTGGTAAAATAGATCAAAGTAGGAAAATAATTTTGATATTAATGAAGATCATACATTTTTTGGAAAAAATAGTGTCTTCCGCATGATTATAAGAATTTTTACTATAAACCATGGATTAAATTATGAAAATATTCATTAAACATTTTTCACTTTATGTCAATCCAAAGACCTCTGTTGATCAATTTTTTTGAGAATCCGAAATACAACTTTTAATACACATTTTATTTTAACCAACAAAATTCTATTCATAAGACTGAGTGTATAATTATCGCAGTACAATCTAAAATCTTATCTATAAAAAAATTTCAAACCTGGTCACCCTAACAGCGACGAAATAATTTTTTGTATATATATAAAGTTGAAAAAATGCCATCAGTATTAATCAGTCGAATACCGGCATTTCTACAAGTAACAAGCAAAGTGTTACAAATATTGACATTTGAATAAAGTACCAAAACAAACGGAAAAAAACGTGAATTATTGAAAAGTGACAATATAACACTGAAGTGCTCTTAACATAGATATACTCGTATATTTACATTACAATATAAAACAAAGCAATTATCCAACATTACACACAAAAAAATGTTATCCTTAAAAGTAAATAGATTATGTGCAGCTGTATGTTTACTTCTATTAGTGATACTGTGCTGCAAATCGGATACAACTGAAGCGGGACGTGTTATCTTTTACGCGCCAAGAACAAATCAAATCTATACGGGACAAATATTATCGGCACAACCAAAAAAGGAACCCTGCCCCAGATGTCAAATGAGAGATCATCGTGGTCGCTGTCGTCGCATTATTAAATTTAATCCTGGTAAGTTGTGGAGTGTCTCTTCAACAATTTGTGTATTATTCGTATCATACCTACCACTACAGAATTTTCATGATGACTGATTGGTGCGATAGAAACATGTTGACGTATCGACATCGACAAATTAATTAATTTCCAATTTTTGTTTAGTGTCATCATGAGTTTGATATGAAAATGCATACAGCAGGGGCTCGATTCTTGTTTTGTGAATATTCGAAATGGTTCTGGGATTCAAATGGCAATAATTGTAACTCTTGTACCCAATTTCAAATAAAATAATAGGTCTTTATTAGGATCCGAAGATCATTATATTTTAATGTGATTGCAGTATTGTGAGGTCTAATAGCCCTTGACTACTTCGAGAAAGACTGCGAAGTAATTCAAATAGTAAACATTCAGGATCTTGTAATAGGTAAAAACATTCCCAGAACAGTTGTGAAGCATATTAATATTTTCGACTTCGACGTAGTACGACATTTCCTTCATGGCTTATTATTAACTGAACGTCCTCAGAATAACATTCGCCATATGTCTCGTTTTTGAGTTATGGTGAGAAAAATTTATTGCTGTTGGCCCTAAAATTTATAAAGACATATCGCAGATTGGGAAGATCTGTCAGATTTGAGTGAATCATAAATAGTTCTCATTATGCCAAGTACGTTAACACCTGTTATTCGCATAAAAACCTGAAACATTAATAATCACGTGAAATAAAAATACGAACAATTTTTCAAAATTTTTATAACCCACTCGGCACTTTTCGATATGATTAAAATTTTATACCCCCATCAGAAGCCAAAAGCCGCTGGATTTGCTTTTCACTTCATACGAAATTTAGAAGTTTTCAAAATATTTGTGTTAGTCATTACGTTTTTATGAAAAAGTTGACCACACGTGGGTTGGAGTTACCTAAAGGAGTGACTCATTAAACCCGAACTTCTTATTTGTTGTATAGGTTATACAAATATTGTGATATGCTGTTGATTGATTAGATCGGATACTCTTTCAATTTATTTGAAATTTAGATTTTTCAAAATGGATGTGTTGGAAGATACTGAATAAGTATCGCATCACTTTTTGCCGGATTTTCGGTTTTGATCGAGGTTTGGTACAAATATAACGATGTGCAAAGTTTGAATCAATCAGTATACTCTATTAGTTTCATATGAGACTTGCCAGCTTTAAAAACATTGATCATTTGTGAAGAAGGTATTAGTAGCATCGGACCCCATCTTCGATCATAGGTTTCTTATAATATTAGGTTGTGCAAAATTTGATAATAGGAAATTATTTGTCAGTCTAGTGATGACTATGTTTTAGGAAATTACCAAAAGGAGTACACCGATATTTTCTATCTGCAGGGGATCAATAGACCAAATCTTCCCACAAAATTAAATTTCTGATATCGCAGGTTATTAGAAATTTAATTTCAGAAAATATTGTCAAATTTGCGGGAAGGTTCCAAAAAGAGTAGTCCGATATATTCGAACTTTATATATTTTTTTGGTAGATATATGTCTATAGGTTCACCCAAATCTAAATTTTACCATATTTAGTACGATTTAGTAAACATTAATACAAAACCAATAAAAACCTAATTTCAGGATTCACCAATTTTTATACCATTTAGAACACATTAGTACAATCTTCCAAAACTTCAAATTCCAGCTCTATCGGTTTACTCATAATTCATATTGTACCAAATAAAGTACCACTTAAGTATGTATTTCTAAAACTACCTACACATCGCTATCCTACACTCCGGCGGTAATGTTAATTCCAAATTTCAGTATTCCAGCTTCATCCGTTTGTCTAAATTTTAATTGTACCAAATGTAGTACAGTTTAGTACTTTGTATTCCTGAGTACACACTTTCAAAACTACATCCTTATATCGATCCTACATTTCAATCTTGATTCACATTCCAAATTTCAAGTTTTTAGCTCTATCCATTCACATGCTATGAAATTGTACCAATTTAGTGCTTTTTGGATACTTATAGTTCGAATGTCCAAAAAACCTTTTCCTACATCTATTCTACATTCCATCAATGGCCCACAATACAAATTTCAGAGGTTTAGCTCCAGCCATTTCGTTTGTCCAATCGTTAAGTCAATCAAACACATTACTCTTTAATTAGTATAGATTGACGGGTCCCATTTTCGGACTTTATCTAGGCTGGTAAATATATGTAATAGAAAGCGCAAATATTAGTTCAAATTGGACATTTTATTCGCCTGATATTGAAAATGATGACCATTTGTAGAGAGGTACCAGAAGGAGTGGGCCAATGTGTTCCATTGTTGGAAATGATAGGCTTGATAATAGGTTGTGTAAAGTTCAAATCGGAAATTCCAATCGCCTGATATTGGATTTATAAATATTGAAAATATTGACCATATGTGGAGGAGTTACCAGAAGGAGTCTACCAATGGGTCCAATAATTCGACATGTTCTAGGCTTGGTAAAGATAATATGTTGTACAAAGTTTGGATCAAATCGGATAGTCCGTTCGCATGATATTAGAAAATTAATTGTAGCACAATTTTGGCCATTTTGTGGGAGAGATACCAGAGGAAGTGGATCGATATTCCTCATCTTCGAATTTGAAATAAGTTTGAAAGAAATATTACAATCTAAAAAGTTTGTATGAAGTCGGTTACTCCTTTCGAGAATTATCGTATTCCCTAGCCATCCAGACGTAAGTCGACTCAAAATTGTGTGAAAGAGTCCAAGTATCATGGGGTATAAAACCAATACTTCGTAGATGCACATTTTTGCCGTAGGGCTTAGGGTATACTAATAATTCAGCTGGTATAAACATTTAAGGCGTGTGCCCATTTTGTGCATAGGTATATATTATAAGATATATTCACCAGTGGCTCCATGCACTCTATACATTTTTGAATACAATGTAATGTGCATAACCACATTTTGTTATAACCTTCATATATCGGTACTGCTCAATATTCGGCATTATAGAAATCTTTTGGTATTTCGTTTTCTACCGACCACAATTTGACACAAAATAGCCACATATAAAATTCTAGAACGATTTTGGTATTCTGAATTTCCATCTCATGGTGGAGGGTACAACTATTTAGGCTATTTAGGGCCAGCGACCGTTTTACTAGTTCTAATATTTTTTTCCATTTCAAACATATTACTTACATGTATATATCCCCATTTGGTAGTCTAATTGGAAGGGATTTAAAATTGTTTGCTTCTATATGGGTGATAACAATCTCTCTACAAAATTATCAATGTAATGTAAGCAATGGATTCCCCGGCGTTGACCATTAATTGAATGGTTTACTTAATAAAAAATGTTTAGGGATTTCCAATATTTCGATTGGAAAATTGATAATAAATTTGAAAATTTCGAATTATGAAATCGTGTGCTTGTCTCACTGATTTTCTTGAATTATTATACCATTTTTTTATAAAAAAAACTATTCGATACAATGACAAGTATCTACCAAAATGATTATCACAACTGTTTCAATAGCCACAGAAAATTAAAATTTTCTACTCAGATATAAATCGCGCATATCTATAAGGTTAACAGTCTTTGTGCTATCAATACACAGCCATTTGAATTGTTATCTATGGATGAACAACGAACACACATACATATGTTATGTGCGATCGCATTGTCAATAAAACGATGTGGGTTCTGTCAACAATATCAATAAAATAATATATAAATATAATTTTGTTGTTGTTGCTTTAATAATAATTTAATGTTTTGATATTATTTTAAAGCTCTCCTAAGTCACTAAACTTACGTTGTCTATTTCTTAAGCAAACAACAACAACAAATGCCCGTTCATTTATTTTACATTGTCCTTATCATTTCATAATGTCTCACATATTATATGACTGTCTATGAAAAAGATTATTTTAATTATTTGATTTATATTGCGAATATTAATTTTGTAATGTATTTTGTTTCTATTTTTAGGTGAAAGCTGTTGAACACACATTTTCATTTGTTAAATAAAACCATGCACGACATTTGGTTTGCCTAGACATTCCAAGAATCTCTTAAGACTGCTGATGTTGTTTCTACTTGAACAAAAAACGCTCGCCATAAAAGTATTCCTAGAATTAAATTATTTATTTAATATAAGTTCTATGTATATAGATGTATATTTTGTTGTTAACTTATTTAATTAATGTATAATAAAAAATGAATTGTTAATGAAAAAAGGTTGTTTTTTTTTTTTAATTTTTTGCGATTGTTATAAAATTGGAGCATGAGAATCAAACCTCGTCTTAGGGAGTAGCTTTGGAGTTAAACAAAAGGAATAGTTTTAAATGAAATCACGCCTATGGGCAGAGCTTAAAAATAAATTTTAAAAAGGGATCACACCTTTGGGCGGCATTTAAAATAGTTTTGACAGATTCCATGCCTATGGCTTTCATATAATTTCAAATGGACCCAATTCTATGGCTTTAAAGTAGCTTAAACATACACTTCTATGAAAACACGTCTTTGAGCGGAGCTTAAAAATATTTTTGAATGGAACCACGCAGATGGACGTAGATAAAAAAAATAGTTTTTGAATATATTAAAAATAATGTTGAAATCACGCCTATAGACAGTGATTATATTAAAAATAATTCTGGAAAAAAACTCAGGCCCATAGCCGTGCCTGAGCTTTAAATTAATTTTGAAGGAAATTATGCCTATGGTCGGGGCTTAAAAATAGTTTTAAAGGGAACTACGCCTATGGAAAGAAATACAAAATATTTTTGGAACATAAAAAATTTTGAAAGAAACGCCTTAAATATTCTGAGCTTAAAATATTTTTGAAAGGAAGCGAAATAAAAAAAAAATTGTTGAATATAACCTCGCCTTTGCGTGTAGCTTGAAACCATTTTTAAAGAAATCACGCCTATATCTTAACAAACGTTTTGGAAGAGTGGAGCTTAAACATAGTTTTGAAAGAAATCACGCATATGAGCCTAAGCTTAAAAATAGTTTTTAAAGAAACCAT